AAAGTAGTTAATGATGTTTCTTAATATATGTGATAACCCAAAAAATCTTACTATGTGGAACAGTGGGAGTATTATTTAAGAAATACTTTAATGTTTACGCATATATTAAGAAACATTATTAACTAATTTTTGTAATACTTTTTGTTTGTTTTAATTTAATATTTAAATTTAATATTTTTTATGTCTATACCGCATGAGAATATACGATCAAGCTCAGGAGTATTGCATAATTAATGACGTTTCCATTTCTCAGATTTTAGGTGTTTAACCCAAAATTATGTTATACAAACACAAAAATTTAAAATTAGAGCCAAAATTATAACTCCAAATAACAAATTTGGAGCCATTGCTGAAAAGCTAAAAAATTGAAATGGAACTAAAACCAATATAATTATGCTGCAGTTACCCTCTATATATATTAACATAAATCTAACACTATTTAGTTAAATTCTTCAATGGCTTTTTATAGTTTTGACCTAAATTTATTACCTCAAAATAACGAAACAGATTTTTTGCTTGATTTGAATAAAAACCCAACAGAAGAACTGGCAGATTTTTCTATAAATTCAGGTATCTTCATTTGTTCAGGGAGTATTGTTCTAATTAATTTATTTTAATAGAATTAGCATTTGGTTTATAACATTTCTTTTCTTTTTAAAATCCTTGTGATAGGAGAAAACATTTATATATCACAAAATCCACAAGAATCTAATCTTCGTAGGAGGAAACAAGTGACAGATGAATAAAGATTAAAGGTTTACCTTGCTCTGTTGGAAAGAAGCTTCAGCGGGAAATTGAAGAAGACTATTACGAGAGAAGTCTCCAATTTGCTCTCTGTACCGTTACTAACAAAACAAATTTGGCGACATGCCAAAAATATTCCCGATGGCGAAGTTGTTGATGTATCACATAAACGAAAGGGTCGTTGTAGTGTGAAGAAAAATCAAATTGACCTTGATTGAATTGTTGATGTTCGGCTCCATCGTCGAAAAACTTTAAGGTCATTGGCAGCTGCTTTGGATGTGAGTTGTACGTCATTGTTTCGTTGCCTAAAGTAAAGGCTCGCTAGAAGACATTTAAATGCTATAAAGCCGAGTTTGATAGAAGGTAATATGAGATCTCGACTACAATTTTGTGTCTCCATGCTCGATAATAGTATTTTGCCGGAACATCCAAAGTTTGTTGATATGTACAGTATTGTGCATATCGATGAAAAATGGTTTTATATGACAAAGAAATAAGAGACTTATTACGTGCATCCTACCGAAGAAGAGCCATCTCATACATGTCAGAGCAAAAACTATATTGGAAAGGTAATGTTTCCTGCTGCCATGGCACATCCGAGATTTGATGAAGGGAATGAGATATTTTCTGGAAAAATAGTGGTGTTTCCATTTGTTACAATGCTACCTGCTTATAGACGAAGTAGAAATCGAGATGCAGGTACTATGGAGTTAAAGGCAATGACCTCCATCAAGAGAGAAAATGTAAAGAATTTTCTAATTGGAAAAGTTCTTTCAAACATTCATAAAAGATGGCCACAAAAGGATTTAGGGAAAACTATTTATATTTAACAAGATAATGCAAAAACTCACGTTGATCCGAGATGAGGAATTTCGAGCAGCTGCTTGTAACATTGTTTTGATATTCGTTTGATATGTCAACCACCAAATTCGCTGGATCTGAATATTTTAGATCTGGGATTTTCCAATGCAACTCAAGCACTACAACACAAGGTGTGTCCAAAGACATTGATACAACTTGTTTCTACGGTAATTAATTCATTTGGTGAATATCCTTCAAAATAGGTGAATCAGATTTTTTTTAACTCTACAGTCATGTATAGAAGAAATTATGAAAGTCAGAGGATCGAACAAGTACATTATCCCACATTTGAAGAAATCCATTTTGGAGAAAGAAAGCCATCTACCTTCACAATTGCCTTGTAATCCTATTTTAGTACAAAATGTAATAAATTACTTAGCTATTTAAGTTTTATGTTTGATTTTAACATTTTTAATTTTTGTTCAACCAGCTGATCAGTTTTGTAAGAACTTTATTTTTATTAAGAATTTCTTGATTTCACACTTATATATGGTTTTGCATAACACAAAAACTGCAAATTTAAAGAAACAAACATTTTCAAGCGAAGCAGGATCAGAATAATCACTGAAATTATATTTCTCCGATGCGGTTTGGAGAGAAGACACCAGATTTGCTGGATTTGGTTTGCTTGGCCTTCTCTAATCAGAGTGATTCCAATCTACTGGATTCTATTTTCTCGGCCTTCTCTAATCGGTGCGATTCAAATCTGTTGAATTCAGTTTGCTCGGCTTCCTCTAATCGGAGCGATTCCGATCTGGTCGATAATTGGCCGATCTCCTTATATACATCTTCGATCTCTGCATTAATATCTCTTTGATCTACGCTGGATTTCGCTTTCACAAAGGTTTTGAAGTATTTGTTCAGAAAAAAAACTTTACACTTTTGCATTGGTAGAGATATATTATTTTAATTTAGTTTTATAAAGTTCATCTTTTACCCAGTTACAAAGAAATTTATTTTAAAAAATAAAGAAGAGAGATAAAGAAAATAATACTAAAATCTAAAAAAACTTAGGATAATATATCTTCAGCATCTCCAATACTGTATCGTCAATTTTCTTGTTAGGAGGAAGTTCTCCTACATCAGAATATGGTTTATTCAAATCAAGTTCTTGATTGGTGTCAGAATTTGCATCATAAATCCGCTGTATATCCTTGGACTCGTCTTCTTCATGTTTCAGCTCTTTTTTTTGTTCTTTCCTATTCATTTTTTAGTTAGAATGATAAGTTAAGTGGAGTTGTAAAAAAAAAAAAGATGTTATCATATATATATTCAGATAAGTTTTTATTTTTTGTTACTAGTTTTGATTTTTTATGTTTTCAATAAGCATTTATTTTTTGTTTTTGTAAAGTGGAACTTTATTAATGTATAAAATTTAATCTTTTGGAATAGAAAAAAAAAACCCAAAAAATCTTACAGTTTGAAATTGAGGGAGTAGTATAGATTAGTACTTCAATTTCTAAATATTTGAAAATTAATATATCAACTCTGTATTGTCTAGTCAACATGATCAATACGTATTAAAATAATTACGACTTTTCAGTGTTACAGTCTGAATGTACAATATGATCTTACAAAATAACAATCAATCTTAACGTGAAATGGGGTGGATCAACGTGCGATGAATATCGGAGAAGTGGGGGCATTTGCTGTCCAACAATTGATCATCAGCGCTCTCAGGGCTTGAGGGCATTCCATTCCAATAAATTATACATATCAAATCTCGCAATAAGGAGTCTGTAGAAATCTACTCTTACTATTAAGAAACTCTAATGTATCATGTATGTGATGACAGAACATTTTCAAAATATACCACATTGCCGATTAAATTTGAGACTTCACGCTTTGACATGAATTGCAAAACAAAATATCAAGTGGAGGGTTTTTTTTTTTTTAACTTAGAAAAAGGCCGGTCCATTTGTTTTAGGGTTGGTTTATTAACAATAGAGATTTGTTTCTTTTTCTCTCCTAGTTGTTTTCAATAAAACATTAACATTAAAAAACAAAACAAAGAGAACAAGTTTTAGTATACTTTTCAAGGAACATTACGTAAACTAGGTATTTACCTGCGCTATGCTGCGAGATATTTTTCTAAATTTTGTATATATTTTTAATATAATGAAATTATTTTTATAATTTAAATGAGTATTATATTTATTTTTTATTAGCTTAAGTTATGTATTTATATGTTTTAAATCTGACCAAACATTATATATATATTATTTTTTTTTATTTTTCAAAATTATAATTTGCTATTAAATTTTGTTAGCTAACTAATTATAAATGTATATATAGGAATAAAATATATACGAATAAAATAATATATTTTTAGTACCTTAATGCTAATGGTAAATGTAATCTATTTTCTCCAATAAATTACCACTTGATCCTCTTTTGTAATTATATAAAGCAAAATACCAGTTTAAAAAAAAGATTTATTAATTAATATGATTATTTTGAATCATAAAATTTATTTATTTATCAAATATTTTATTATAAACATATGTTTGTAAAACTACCAAACTATAATCAATAACATTCATATCAATACCATTGCTATTGCTTTAGAACTAAATAGAAAATTATGTTTGAACTCTTAAAATATCGTTTTAGTTAAAGTTAAATAATTAAATTTTGATTACTGTAAACATATCTTAACTTGAAAATTTAGCACAGAAAAATTTTATCTTCTTACAAAAATCGAGAAATCGCATTTCCCGTCAAAACAAAAAAAAACTTCATTTTCCCATTAAACTGAGAAATCGCATATTCCCGCCAAAATCCAAAAATTCATTTTCTCGTCAAGCCCAGAATCACGCTTTCCTACAAAAATAAATAAACTACATTTTTTTGCGAAAACCAAAAATTGCATTATCTTCCGTGAAATTATGTTTTCACGTGAAAACTAAGACATTGTTATGTTTTTATCGGTTCAAATTTTTGCTGATGTGTGAGCTTCTTATAACATAAGGTTTTTTGTGTTGTTGTCATGGAAGCATAGTTGATGCTGAGCTTACACTTTTTCAATCATATACGGCTATGTCAAACAAACATATAGCTAGAATTTTTTTATTATTTATATGCTGTTATTTATTATTTGGATTTGGTTTTGGCAAAAAAAAAATAATGATTTAATTTTTTTTATTTGTTTTTATTTATTATTTTGGTATGGATTTGGCAAAAAATAAAATAATTATTTTTTATTTGCTGTTATTAATTATTTGGGCTTGGATTTGGTAAAAAATAAAACAAAAATTAATAGAAAAAAATATTTGGATTTTTAATGGGTTTAAATTTAAAAATTAAAATAAGTAGATGAGATGTATTAATAAAATGTTTTAATTGGTGATTATTTTTGTTGAGGTGTCATGTTTATAAAGCTTCAAAAATCTGAGGTGTCAAGCCATGAAGAGACTTTAGTGTTATTGTTGTGTTGATTTAGAAATAAAAATAAAACGACAACAAAAAGATTTTTTTTGTTTGAAATGAAAACATTACATGAAAATAAACACAAGACAAGAGCTTAACATGCCTCGGGAAGAAAGCGAACTCAGCCAAGTGGTCAGAATCCTTCAACAACCTCAGCTTCTTCTTACCCAAGCTTTCTTTTTCTAACCCGATATCTACACCGCCGGAGGCAAACTTGTACAGTTTGTTAGATTTCTCGATGGTGAAAATTCTCTCATTGCTCGACTCCCCAGGGAACAGATCCCCCATGGATACTCCCCCAACGATGACTAGATCTTCGTAGCCTGAGTCACTCTGACCTACTCTCCAATACTCGGAATCATCGTAGGAGCACGGCGCCAGGATTGGCGAAGTGGAAATATCCCTGAAGCGAATTTTTTAAGTTGGGTCGATACACGTACCACATCTGATGACGAGACAAACACAACTACGATACCATTAAAACTGGTGGGTCTCCTGTTTGTGAACAATGCCACGCCCTTCTGAGCATTCATCTTTTAATTTGTAAGGTAGTAGCACGCCACCTGATATCCCCCTGCGCCCGACTTGATACGTAGCGTTTGCCTTCACTGGATTCCCTTCAAAGTCAAGCACTGCTTCCTTCTCTCCATAGACAGCAGATGCCGTTATGGCAACAACAAGGAAGCATTTGATCAACTGGAATGTCACTGCACGCTTCATCTTTGATCTTTCTTTCTTTTTCTTTTTTTTTTTTGTTTGTGTGTGTTTCTGTTATCTTTCTGATTTCTTGCTTTGTGTTGCTGTATTGAAAAAGATTGCTAACGTATAGGAAACATAATGGGTTCAATACTCTTTTCTTTACTCCTTTTCCAACTCTACATGTGGAACGTGGATTCTTCCTTACAACGTGGATCTTCGTCAATGCTACCTGTTTCTTGTCAAATAATTAAGCAGGCGATCCTTATAAATGATTCTGTCAACAAAATCTTTACTAATAATGGCAAGATGTAAGAAATACATTTTGTAATAACTATATTTTCATCCCTAGTCATGCTTAGGTTAATAGCTTGGAGAGAAAGCTATGAATAGCTTGGAGATCAAGACAAATAAGTGATAAAGCTATTTACTTAAAAGTTAAGCTATTCTCTCATGCAATGCTAAAGAACCATTGCTTAGACATGTGTCCACCCACTTGTCACCAATGCTTTTATTTTTACTTTGATGGATGGGTGATATTGAATTCATGGCAAAATCCTAATGAGGAATGAAGTGCTCTCTTCTCAAAATCAACGCTACCTGTTTCTTGTCAAATAATTAAGCAGGCGATCCTCATAGATGATTCTGTCAACAAAATCTGTACTAATAATGGCAAGATGTAAGAAATATATTTTGTAATAAGTAGGTATATATAAATATTCATCCCTAGTCATGCTTAGGTTAATAGCTTGGAGAGAAAGCTATGAATAGCTTGGAGAGAAAGCTATGAATAGCTTGGAGATCAAGACAAATAAGTGTTAAGCTATTCTCTCATGCAATGCTAAAGAACCACTGCTTAGACATTTGTCCACACACTTGTCACCAATTCTTTTATTTCTACTTTGATGGATGGTTGATATTGAATTCATGGCAAAATCCTAATGAGGAATGAATTAGTGCTCTCTTCTCATATAAATAGTTGTCTTTGCTCCATTACAAAGAAACACAACACTCATAGTGAGGTCTATGAGAAATGGGAGAGAAGGCTTAAGCTCCTAATTAAAGATCAAGTTTCTATCTTCAGTAATTCAAAGAGCCATTCAAGAAAAGATCTCTCCACTACTGATGTAGATGTTTCAACATCTTACGGTTCATGTCAACTAAGCTTACAAAAGATACTAGAAAAAGCTTGTAAATTATTAAAAAATGAAATTTGCTACGTGCAGCGTGCTTCCAAGTCTTAGCCATGTGCAGAAATCCACATTGCTGGCACTTCAGATATAGAGGATTTCAAAGAATCATTTGAAAGCTCATTTCAAGAATCGCCGAGTAAATGAAGAACGGTTTCAAGGTTTAGAGGGTAGTGAAGTGTTTACATACCTCAAGTACTAGAGCTCCATTACGAACATTGAGTTGATTAGCTACTGAATCAGGGGCTAATTCTATGTCAATACCAGCTCGCAGCACCTGAAATTTTCAGATTCAGTAACAACATCAAGAACTCCCTAAATATGGATGGATTAAGAAAACAAAACGAATGGAATTGTGTGTGTGTGTGTGCTTGTTTATTTTGCTGAATTGGATTAGTTGAGGAGCAATCTTCAACACAGTTGATGACGGTATTGCAAACCCGACACAAGCAGATGTTCCTATCGAAGCAAATAGATATTTTCGAAAACAGAGTCACTGAAATTCACCTGTCTGTGTTGATCCCAATTAAGTTATCGAGCAGAGGACCTCCACTGCAATGTTTAGTGTTTACCTATTTCCCCGGGTTAGTGGCTGCATCGGTTTGAATCCCACCACCAATCGTAACTCCGGTTTGGCTCAAAATGTCGCGGTTAAGACCACTGATGACACCAACCGTAAGTGTATGGTCAACTTTCAGAGAATTTGATTGTCCAACTCTTATCGGTTTCAGGAGAGCTTCAGGTGCTTCTACCTGATTTTCCACGGTAACATCAAATGTGAGCAGTTCGAAACATATCACCAAACATATAAAGTATAATATACCTTCAGGATTTCTTGAAAGGGCATTGCCAATAGAAGATATATACAACTAGCATTACAATCCACCACAAGCACTCGTAGAATCAATCATGGTTCATTCAGATCATCTTACCGTGATAATTGGTCACAATGTATCCTTGATCACCCTACGCTACTCCAGAGCCATTTCCTTCTGGTATCTACGGTTGAATTCTGAGAGAGATTGTAAATCAAACAATCTATAATAACATAAACAAGAATAGTTTTTTCTTTCTTGGTAATGAGAAAACAATACCTCAACCACACTTGAGGCCATAATGTGACATCAAATATGTTGACAACGGAATAAGTGTTATTCTCAAACAGCTGAACAATTCTCCCCTGAAACAGAGGAAAGATATATGAATGAGTCTCAGTGTAACCATCAAAAACTAAAACTTTGACTACGATTTATCCTAGCATTTGAATCATGTGCTCGACTAAAGTGTTGATACAGCTTCTAATCACAACTCACTGTGATTTGTGTATACAGTGTGAGAATGGGCATTTGGCTTGTTCCTCTTGCTGTTCCCAATCAGATTAGCTCGAAGCAAACAGTTTGTGAAGTTGCACGCAAAACAAGGTTTGCTGCCACCTGACGAAGAGGGAGGAACCATCTGAGTCTGAGACAATAACCCAAGAGGACGAAACTCCAGCTGCAGGAAAACTGAGAAAGGTAAAACAACTTCATTGTCTTTATTTGTTATTCTGTTTATGTGTATATTATCTATAAACCCCTGAGGCTTAAAGCTAGATGATCTGTTTGTAAAATTGTCTAAGTTTAACATTGTGGATAGAGAAAATTGTCGCGGTTAAGACCACTGATGACACCAACCGTAAGTGTATGGTCAACTTTCAGAGAATTTGATTGTCCAACTCTTATCGGTTTCAGGAGAGCTTCAGGTGCTTCTACCTGATTTTCCACGGTAACATCAAATGTGAGCAGTTCGAAACATATCACCAAACATATAAAGTATAATATACCTTCAGGATTTCTTGAAAGGGCATTGCCAATAGAAGATATATACAACTAGCATTACAATCCACCACAAGCACTCGTAGAATCAATCATGGTTCATTCAGATCATCTTACCGTGATAATTGGTCACAATGTATCCTTGATCACCCTACGCTACTCCAGAGCCATTTCCTTCTGGTATCTACGGTTGAATTCTGAGAGAGATTGTAAATCAAACAATCTATAATAACATAAACAAGAATAGTTTTTTCTTTCTTGGTAATGAGAAAACAATACCTCAACCACACTTGAGGCCATAATGTGACATCAAATATGTTGACAACGGAATAAGTGTTATTCTCAAACAGCTGAACAATTCTCCCCTGAAACAGAGGAAAGATATATGAATGAGTCTCAGTGTAACCATCAAAAACTAAAACTTTGACTACGATTTATCCTAGCATTTGAATCATGTGCTCGACTAAAGTGTTGATACAGCTTCTAATCACAACTCACTGTGATTTGTGTATACAGTGTGAGAATGGGCATTTGGCTTGTTCCTCTTGCTGTTCCCAATCAGATTAGCTCGAAGCAAACAGTTTGTGAAGTTGCACGCAAAACAAGGTTTGCTGCCACCTGACGAAGAGGGAGGAACCATCTGAGTCTGAGACAATAACCCAAGAGGACGAAACTCCAGCTGCAGGAAAACTGAGAAAGGTAAAACAACTTCATTGTCTTTATTTGTTATTCTGTTTATGTGTATATTATCTATAAACCCCTGAGGCTTAAAGCTAGATGATCTGTTTGTAAAATTGTCTAAGTTTAACATTGTGGATAGAGAAAATTGCAAACTTCATTACTATTTCAGATGCTAAAATGTAGCTTTTTTACAGAATGTTCATCAAATATAAAAAGACCAAAACTTTATACTTATCGATCATTGAAGTCAAACTCAGAAGCAGGATTGTCTGCAAGGATCACGAATCAACAACCTCATGTCTTTAGAATCAAACTCATCTCCGAATCTTCTGTGAGCCCTTTTCAAGAGTCTCAAAACATTAGCCAATGCTCCTTTGCTTCGACTCTCGTCCCTCTTCTTCTCTGCGTAGGATATAGACTCCTTCTCCTCCCTAAAATAAAAGTACTTTTGATCTCCACCAAGTTTCTCTTGTGGTGAGGCCAAACATCTCTCGTATCATCAACAATCACCACTCTACGCTTATCAGCCACAAGAAGGTTAAGCGTCTTCTTATAAGGACTCTCATCTCTCGTGATCACTCGATCTCCAAAGTATATGTTCTCCGGATCAATCAAACTCAACACTGTCTTGGCGTAATCGCGATTGCCCATCGTGTAAACGTACAAGTAGAAGAGTTTATTGGCTTCTTGTAGAAACTCACGAACAAAAGGTCTTAACTTTATCAATAGCTCGTTGTCGTCGAAACTCCATAGATCTTCCCTTGAATCGACTTCTTCGATTAGATACTTTTCTTTCTGAGAGAGCTGTGAAACAATAACCGTGTGGAGAAGCGTGTGGTCCAAATCAAGGACTAAGTGAAGCTTCTTCTTCTTCTTCTTCTTCTTCTTCGCTTCGTCGAGAGATGAGACTTTGTTTCTTCGTTTGAGTTTATTGAAGAGGCGAAGGATTTGCTTAGTAACACGCGCCATACCTTTTGTCTTAATTGTTATCTCTAAACCAGGAGGAGAAGATAACGACGACCGCACGAACCCAATGTGTAAGAATGCACAGAATTGAAATCAAGAAAAAAAAACCCTAATTTTGATTGAAAGCGTCAGAGGAAATGTAACGAGTGTGGATAGAATTGGGTGATCGTTTGTGTATATATATAGAGAGATTGGAGATTTGGAGTAGAGTAACGAAAAATGGAAATTCCAAAAGTGATTTTCCTTTTCTGATATTAACAGCTAATTTTCGTTATGTTAAATGAATTATTATATTATTAATACATTTCAAAACATTATCGGTTAGTAACTAAATTATGTCAAATTAAAAAAAAAAACTCTCATCAACAAAATACCAAAATAAAAAAATTTATTTTTCAAATTTCATAATTTTATTTCTAATATTTAATAGTATATTGTATTAACTTTAAATAATATCAACTAAAAAATAATGTTAATATATATTATAAAATTATAGATAATGAAATTCAATAGATAGATAAATTTAGTTTCTTTTAGTTCACGAATATACTAAAATCAAACACTTCTACTGCTTCTAATAAGACCATTGGATCATCACTAGCTAGGAACTACAATTCTCTGATTGTGACAGTTAAGCTACTACTCGTTACAGAATCTGAAGAAGAAGAAAATAGCTGATAAGTACCTTGAAGGATTATACCACAGATTCATGAATATACTTGTCAACAAGATCCGCCTTGTCGTTGAAGGTACACTTTTCATGGCTAACTCATGCAAATTCGACTTGCAATCTCGACCAATCCTAACAAAAATACAAACAACCAAAAAGCTATACCATCAACATCAAATTTCCATGTAAAAATCTCAGGAACAAAGTTCATAATAGAAAGAAAACACACTAATGAGTTTTCACAACCAAAATTCACAGAAGCAAGCAACACACTAATGAATAGCTGTTCCAAATTTCAAACTGAGATTTTGCTCAATTGCTTACATTTCTGGTAATAACTACATAAATCGAAAAGATTGTCACAAAAGCTTAAGCTTTACATGGAATTATCACTAACACCTTTGGAAAAAAATGCATAACAGAAGTCATAATCTTTCACTAACACTTAGTATCATACCCATGAATCTTTTAAGGAACCCAATTCAAAAGGAACAATTTTTCAGGGAAAAACAGAAGAAATTGCAGAGATTTCACCAAAACTGGCTGCGTAAGAAACATGAAAAGTCATAATCTCTTAAAGGAACCCAAATGAAAAGGAACAATTTTTCAGGGAAAAACAGAACCAAAATGCAGAGAGAGAGAGAGAGAGAGAGAGAGAGAGAGAGAGAGAGAGAGAGAGAGAGAGAGAGAGATGCTTTGTAAGAAGAAGCTAAATTCTTACTTCACTGAAGAAACGGGTCGGTCTGAAACGACGTCGTCGCCTTGAGAAATTCTGGAACATGCGGAGGAGAGAAGCTGTCGTCGACCCACAAAATCATTCTCATGTGAAGTAATCGGAGAAGGTTTCAAAGAGCAGGACGCTATCACCTGCATCTTTGCAACAATATTTCTCAAAATTTTTGAGACCAATCGATTTGGCAAAACCTGGATAAAATTAAAAATCTCAGATTTTTTTTTCTGTAGCTGACGAAGAAGGAGCTACTTGAGATACCGTAAATGCCCCTCAAATGTCTTTCGTCTCAATTTTTCTATTTTTTTGAAAATAAAATAAAATATAAGATTACTCTTCGTTGTTCTCTCATCGGAAATAGAGAAAAGGGGGATTAAGGGTTTAGCCAATTCTCCGATTAAGGTTTTTAGGTGTTAAAGCTCTCGACCATGGTGGGAGCCTCGATTCTGGAAGAAGGAAATGGATCGACTAGCGTTCTCACGAAAAAGAGAAGACTTCGTATTACATTTCACTTTCCCGGCGAAGGAGCGAAGAGAGTGGGTACGGAGGCTAAGAAACTCTCAACGATGATGCTGGATCCTGTTGTTCTTGACTGTCCCATCTGCTTCGAAGCATTGAAGATCCCTATCTTCCAGGTAGCTTCTCCTTCCTTTTTGATTGAATCCTTCTTATTTCATAAAGTTACTGTCTTGATAACTCTGCCTTAGGAAGATGATAATTTGGAGTAGAAAGGAACACAAAAGTTTGAATTTTTACAAATCCTTAGCTTTTGTATTGATGATTTGAGGGTTCTAGTGAAGTTTTGCAAGATATTTCCATGTTTGTGTATGGTGTTGACTAGTTAATATTTACTGCATTTGAATCTACTCGACGAAAGTGTTGATACAGCTTCTAATCAAACCGGGTTTGTATATACAGTGTGATAATGGGCATTTGGCTTTTTTTTGATGATTGTGTATGATGTTGGTTAGTTGATATTTACTGCATTTGAATCATGTGTTCGACTAAAGTGTACTGTTGATACAGCTTCTAATCAAAACTCACTGGGGTTTTTGTATGTACAGTGTGATAATGGGCATTTGGCTTGCTCTTCGTGCTGTCCCAAACTGAGTGGTAAATGCCCTGCTTGTGCTTTGCCTATCGGCCACATCCGCTGCAGAGCAATGGAGAGTGTTCTTGAATCCATCTGTGTCCCATGCCCAAACGCCAAGCATGGATGCACCAAGAATCTAACTTATGGGAAAGAATCAATCCATGAGAAGGAATGCATCTTCTCTCAATGCTCCTGCCCTGCACCAGACTGCGATTACACTGGATTGTACACCAGACTCTACTTTCACTATATTTATTCTAACCACCAGATGAGATACATGGGTACAAGTTTGTTCAGTTGTGGTGAATCCTTTACCGCCAAGTTTAACATCAGGGATAAGATATTGGTTAAAGAAGAGTGTCGGATGACACTATTGTTTGCAGTGCAGTGTTTTAGAGAGCCTTATGGTGTGTATGTAACTGTAAGCTGCATTGCACCATCTGCTCCAAGATTAGGAAAGTTCTCGTATGATATCTCCTACACTGTGGATGGACACACTATGATTTACAAATCACTAGAGATGAAGAGGGTTCTTGAAGTGAGCTTTGAAACCCCTAAGGAGAATTTCATGTTGATTCCTCACAGTTCCTTGCGTGGGGAACTGTTGAAGATGGAGCTTTGCATTAAGAAGTTGGAAGAGTAAGAAGGTTAGGGTGGGTTTTATAGAAGAAGGCCATTTTTTCTGTCGTTAGTATGTAAGATCGGATTATATGTAATTTTGGTACTGATGAACTAAGATCAATGGTTGCTTTACGGCTTAATTTAATGAGAATGTTTCAGCTTAGGCTGGATAATGTAGGCTCAAAGCAGAGCTATTTTGATATTTTTGTCTTGTTCTTTTTTTTCCCTCTCGAACAATTGTTTCTTCTCCTCTCAAAGATTCTCAAAAATTGTGATTGTGTTCTTATTGTCTCAGACATCTCTCTGTACTAAGACCCGAAACTGCTGTTAGTTGTTGTGTTTTGCAGATGACTACTCACGACAACAACGATATGGAACTTGAAGTTCCTGATTCCGAATCCAATGTCACTGGAAACATAAGGATAGAAACGCAAAGGTCAAGTGCATTTGCTCTGCCACAAGAAGAAATTTCCTAAAAGAGCAGAGAGGTATGACAACATTTTATCCAACTTTAAAGATGATAATGGGAAAAGTAGTTGTCGTTATTGTGGTACAGAGATTAGTTGTGACTCCAAAACACATAGAAAGTTAAACAATGCTTTCCTTGAAAGCTATAGTCAAAAGCTGAGTGGTAATAAGAAGTATGATCCGCTGGTTTTGAGGAGATTAGACAATGAAAATGGTTGTCATCAATGAGTTGCCATTTTTCATCTGTTTCAATGTATTGCCGAAGTATAAGACTCTTTCAAGAGAAAGCTTCTTTGAAGACTTTGTTTAGTGTTGATACTTCCTAGGTGGTTGTCACAACTCATTGGATTGATGAAAATTTGGCAAAATGCAGAAGATGACCATCAGTTTTAAGCCCATCACAGATCACGCTTAAATCTGCTTGTAAGTGTGATCCTCTGTCTCAAAACGATGTATTAAAATTCTTGGATTGAGAACGGATTGATTCAGTTTGTCTAATTTGTGGTAGAATGCAAGAAAGCTTACACTTGTTTCTTGCGCTGCAAGTTAATAATGAATGTATGTAAGAAATTTCCAAACCGGGTGATTTGACTAATATCTCTTCCGATTCTTCACCATCAAACCAATAATACGATAATAACAAGTCTAAACCGGCTCTCAACCAGAACCAATTGAGATTCAAACCAAGCGACAGTTGAAAAACTTCCAATTTGCTGACTACGTATATAATTCGCACGTAGCGCGAATCTGTATTAATATTTTGGTTTAATTTTTCTTAGCTACTATCTTTAAAATTATTAAAAATTATATACATTTATAGAAATTTTTATTTATATAAGAGAATTTAATATCTATTGTATAATTTATCCTATTTTTATTTATAAATTTAAAAAAACTATTAAGTAAAATAATAACAATGACACCTATCGAATCATTCAACTTTGACGTACATATACATTTGATTTAGAGAAATATAATCTTGCTAAGATTTTATTATTATTTTCTGTTTTCTATAGAATATATATATCTATAGTTCTTTTTTCTTGAAGGTTTATGTGTTCAAATATTTAGTTTTTTATTGAAAGTCTTATTGATGTTGTGTACCACTGCATTTATAATCCATGATTCATGTTGATTCGCATTTAATCTTGTTAGGAAGCTGTAATAATCATGCAAAACTATTTTTTCCTTCTTCATTATGTCTTCCAAGAGTTTTATGTTATATTTTTATTCAGTTTTCATTGTTAAATCGAGTTGTTATAGATTTTTTTTTAAATTGATAATTGATAATTGTTACTTTTTTATATACATGTATTGTTAATTTTTTATTTTTTATTTAACTTTTAAATTTTAAAACCATATTAATATTTTTTATATAATAAATATATTGATTTGGATCAATCAAATTGAATTTACTTTTTTTTTGTTGGACATAGTTTGTTAAATTAACTTTTAACGTTTTAATTATACTTATAATCCATGATTCATGTTGATTCGCATTTAATCTTGTTAGGAAGCTGTAATGATCATGCAAAACCATTTTTTCCTTCTCTATCATGTCTTCCAAAAGTTTTATGTTATATTTTTATTCAGTTTTTCATTGTTTTAATTGTTGAATCGAGTTGTTGTAGAATTTTTTAAATTGATAATTTATAATGGTTACTTTTTTATATATGCATTGTTAATTGTTAAATTTTTTATTCAACTTTAAAAATTTTAAATTATATTAACATTTTCTGATTTAATAAATATGTTGATTTGGATCAATCAGATTGAATTTACTTTTTTATTGGACATAATTTGTTAAATTAACTTTTAATATTTTAATTATACTTAATAATTTTTTGTTTGATTTAAAAGCTGATGTGGACCAATTAAATCAAGTTTTTCGTTCTAATCATACTTAACATTTTTTTATTTAATGAATATGCTGATGTAGACCAATCAGATCGAGTTTTTAATCCCATGTGGATGCCCTCAATGCACTATGCTTTCAACCTTTATATATTATATGATTTAGGGTTCGTTATGCATAAATCAGAGGAGTGATTGAGTTTCTCCAAAAAAATCTTTGTTTTCTCTGTCCTAATTAAAGATGGCGCAAACCCCTCCGCGAGATCAGACGTGGGTTTCCTACTATTTGTTTTTGTTCTTGATTTCTGAAGATAGATAATACATTGTTTTGATTAAAGATTTCGTGGATTTGTTTTCTTCTCATAAATTGTCTGATTCTCATTCCACATGCGTAGCTATCTATGCACTTGTTTGTAAAGAACTAATAAGATAAGATGATTTGTTATTGCAAACTTGGGTTTCAAGAATGTAAGGTAATGAAACTTATTCAGTTTTAATGTTTAGATTTCTGAAGACTGATAATACTCTTGTTTAGATTGAAGATTTCGTGGATTTTGGTGGTGATGCTTCTTCTTTTTTTCGGTATTGATTCTCTTTGAAACAAGTGCATCGGACCTTGAATGTAGAATTAGTATATAAAAAGTTTTGTTTTTCAAAATTCTTGATTTTCCTCGTCTTTATAATTGGAGTTGAAGGAGCTAATACTGCTTAGATAAACTTGTGTTAGAATTGGAATCGATGAAATTACACGTTGTTATGTTGACACTAGTACGGTATTGTAATAAGGCGGTTTGATAAATTCTTGATTTTTCCTCGTCATTAGAATTGGAGTCCAAGGAAGAAGAGCTGATGCTGCTGCTTACCCAAAGTTGACAACCGAGGATGCCCTACGCTATCTCAACGAAGTGAAGAGAGCGTTTGCAAACAAAGAAGGAAAGTATGCCACTTTCGGACAGCTGCTGATAGATGCCAAGAATAAAAAGTTGGGAACGTTTTTGTATATCTATTTAAGGAACTTTTGGTTTATGGAAGAACAGAAAAAGATAATTCTGTTTTTGGACTCTGCAGGATCGACATAGATTTTTTGATGCTGAGGGTCAAAGAGTTGCTTCAAGGACATAAGAAGCTGAAAATTGGTTTCAACACTTTCTTACCAGAAGAATATAGAATGAAACTCGATGAGGAGGATGACAATGTACATAATCAAAAGATAAGCAAGATTCTGGGGATAGGCTTCACAAAACCTCAAGAGGCATGCATTAGCGTTTGAATATTAACAAAAACACAATTCCTCTTGTGGCTTTATTTATATACTGTCTTCCTACTAACTTTTGTTTTTTTTTGTTTTTGGTTTTTTTTTGTAGATGGCGACGTGAGTTTCCTTGTATTTCCAGTATTTGATTATGTTATGTCTGCGTGTGATTATTAAACACGTGCTTGAAGTGGAACTTGTTACAATTAATGTACCCTTGAGCGTTCGGTTTCTTCTTTTAGGGTTTAGATTGCTGATGGTTGATTATACATATTGTGTATGTGTTTGGATTAGGATTTCTTGGATATGAATCTTACTTGATTGTATGTAGATGAGTATGATTAGGAGATGCTCTAATTTACGTTTTAACCGGATATGTTAATAATTAGGTGTCACTTTGTTTTACTTCTTTCTTTGTTTTTGTGAAATTCACAATCTTTAGTGTAGTGTGAGTGTTAACATGGATTTGAGAGAGACAGCAAATGTAAGCACTTTCATTCATAATTGCTTGCTTCTCATCTCACAGGAGGATATATAACTGATAAGATAATCCAAGATTATATGAATTATGCAAACTTGGTTATCAAGTCGAGAATGTTTTATGTGTGTGTGGCCGGTTTGGATTTCACGTAATATAGTCTCTGTAGCTAGGTTTTTCTTGGAGGATGAGATTAATATTTGTCACGCTAACTAATATATAATAGGGGTTTTAAATTCTTGAACTTTTTCTTCTTCTTTAGAGTTGGAGATGTAGAGCTTAGCTATCTGAAAGAAGTCAAGAGAGAATTTGCAAACAACGAAGGAAAGTATACCAGTTTACTCCAGCTGTTAATAGATGCCAAGAATAAAAGGTTTGGATTGTTTTTGTATATAACTTTTGGTTTGTGGAAGAGCAGAAAAAGATAATTCTGTTTTTGTACTCTGCAGGATCGACATAGATACTCTGATGCTGAGGATTAAAGAGTTGCTTCGAGGACATAAGAAGCTGATACTTGGTTTCAACACTTTCTTGCCAGAGAAATATAGAATGCAAGTCGATGAGGTTGTGGCTGATTCTCAGGAAAACTACTATTATGAAGAAGTTTCTGAGGATAACACTTAAAGGAATCTCCATAAGCAGAGGCATGCACGAGCTTTTGAATTATGTATAGATATTGCAACTGATTAGGAGGAGGAGGGTGATATAAGAAAACAACTTCCCTCTGGCTGTATTATTAAACTACATGATATTTGATCGTCTGCTTAAACTCTTTTGTTATTTCCCCTTTATATAAATAAACTAGATTAGGATCCGTATATACACGGGTTTGAAAATTGTTTTAAAACTTGTACATAATAAATTAAAAACAAAAATAAATAACCACTTATAATAGAATTGACTGAAGAAACTGGCATCATTCTTCGTTTTATGTTTACTTTTATATTTTTTACAAATATGACTAACATGAAAATGTATAAAAAAAAACAAAATTAGATCATTGTGAACATTGAAAAAAGTAAGATTGAGAACATTTTCGCAAAACCATTTATAAAAGAACTGATTAAAAAACTTGGGTTTCTCTTTCATTCCATGTTTACTTTAATATATTTCATAAATATGAATGAACATGAAAAATCATAAAATAAAATTAGATCAGTGTGAACATAAAATATAAGATTGTGAACATTTTCACAAAAACACTTATAATAAAACTGATTAAAGAAATTAACTTTCTCTTTTATTCCGTATTTACTTTTATATTTTTCACAAATATAATTTTTCTTTAACAAATTCTCATCGAGAATCTAATTTAGTAAAATGGTATCACGAGATCAGACGTGAGTTTCCTAATATTTGATTTTGTTCTTGAATTCTGAAGATTGATAATACTTGTGTTTGGATTAAAGATTTCTTGGATTTGTTTTCTTCTCATATATTGACTGCTTCTCATTGTACAATAGCTATCTATTATTCTATGCACTTGTTGTAAAGGAAAACTGATACGATAATATGATTTTTTGTTTGATTGCAAACTTGGGTATCAAGAATGTGGGGTAATGAAACTTATTCAGTTTAGGGTTTAGATTTCTGAAGATAGATAATACTTGTGTTTAGATTAAATATTTCGTGGATTTGTGTGGTGATTCTTTTTGAAACACATGCATCGTACCTTCAATTCTAGCATTGGTAAGATATGGTTTTTGTTTGAAATTCTTGATTTTCCTCATCTTTGTTTGACAACCGAGGATGCCCTAAGCTATCTCAACAAAGTGAACAGAGCGTTTGCAAACAACAAAGCAAAGTATTCCACATTTAGACAGCTGCTGATAGATGCCAAGAATAAAAAGTTGGGAACATTTTTATCTAAGGAACTTTTACTCTATGGAAGAACAGAAAAGATAATTCTGTTTTTGGACTCTGCAGGATCGACATAGATACTCTGATGATGAGGGTTTAAGAGTTACTTCGAGGACATAAGAAGCTGATAATTGGTTTCAACACTTTCTTGCCAAAAGAATATAGAATGAAAGTCGATGATGAGGAGGATGACAATGCACATGATCAGGCAGCAGATTATAATTATGACGACAAAGTACATAATCAAAAGATAAGCAAGATTCTGGGGATAGGCTTTACAAAACCTCAAGAGGCATGCATTAGCGTTTGAATATTAACAAAAATACAATTCCCCCTCTTGTGGTCTTTATTATTTATATATATACTATCTTCTTCCTATTAACTTTTGTTTTTTGTTTTTGTTGTAGATGGTGACGTGAGTTTCCTTGTACTGTCCAGTATTTGATTATGTTATGTCTGCGTGTGAATATTATATATGTGCTTGAAGTGGAACTTGTTTCAATTAGTGTGCCCTTGAGTGTTTGGTAGCAGATTTTAGGTTTTAGATTGCTGAAGATTGATTATACATTGTGTATGTGTTTGGATTAGGATTTCTTGGATTTGAATCTTACTTGCTGTATGTAGATGAGTATGATTAGGAGATGTTCTTATTTACGTTTTAACCGGATATGTTAAGTGATTTAGGCTTGGAATTCACCAAATTAATAATCACAAGATGATCAAGAGGTTTGAAGCTTGTTGTGGAAGATGGATGATGACTGATATGATGATGGAGTTTTGTTGAATGAATCCACACTCGTCACTCAACACACAGAACAAACAACTTGAATCCACAAATTATTTAATCTGCAACATATACGAGGTTAATAAATCCACACTAGACTCAAAATGCACAAAATCAAAGGTACACACGAGAAAGAAACTTAATAAGTTTATTCATTATTTTATAAAGAAGGTGAATATAAAAGATAACAAATGAGAGCTTTATAAAGAGCTATTTCCAACGGCACAAAAATGATGAAAAGGAAACAAAATTATTAACATAATTGAAAACAATAAAAGTAGAAAACTTTAGAAGCCGTTGTGTATTTAGTTTCTTTTGGATGTGAACACATGGAATTAAAGCAACTTGTGTCATGTCTTGTATCTCGAGATCTTCTTAATAAATCCACGTCTTGATGCTTTTGTAGAAGATTCTATATGATGCACTCTAAATTTATATAGCCGTTAGAAAATAAAATTGGCATTTAACCCCACAAAAGAAAACATGGATTTTGCTTTATTCCTTTTGACTCTTTGGTTTAGTGGACGTGAATATGGAATATCAAAAGCCTTTGATGTGTGAAGAGACTCCCCTGGCCGCTACACTTTTGCTTGAAACAAATCCAAATATGGAACGTTCCATATGGATCGAGAACTAGCCCATATGAGTTTGTTGTTGGCTCTAATTGGGCCAGGTTCTATCTTGATCATGTTTTGGATGTTCTTCTCCTCTTCTTGGTAAGCTATGGTCTTGCTGACCTCATCATTAAGATATCGTAAGCATAATGTGCCACTTTGTTTTACTTCTTTCTTTTTTTTTTGTGGAATTCACAATCTTTAGTGTAGTGTGAGTGTTAACATGGATTTGTGAGAGACGGCAAATGTAAGCACTTTCATTCATAATTGCTTGCTTCTCATCTCACAGACGCACTAGTTGTGAAGGATATATAACTGATAAGATAATCCAAGATAATATGAATTATGCAAACTTGGTTATCAAGTCAAGAATGTTTCATGTGTGTGTGACCGGTTTGGATTTCACGTAATATAGTCTCTGTAGCTAGGTTTTTCTTGGATTACTTATTTGTCATGCTAACTAATATATAATAGGGATTTTAAATTCTTGAACTTTTTCTTCTTCTTTAGAGTTGGAGATGTAGAGCTGAGCTATCTGAAAGAAGTCAAGAGAAAAATTGCAAACAACGAAGGAAAGTATGCCAGTTTCCTCCAGCTGTTGATAGATGCCAAGAATAAAAGGTTTGGAATGTTTTTGTATATAACTTTTGGTTTGTGGAAGAACAGAAAAATCATAATTCTGTTGTTGAACTATGCAGGATCGACATAGATACTCTGATGCTGAGGGTTAAAGAGTTGCTTCGAGGACATAAGAAGCTGATAATTAGTTTCAACACTTTCTGAATGTCCACTTTTTCCAAGTTAAATTTTAAAACTTTAACAAATACTATTTACTATATGTATTAATGATAAATCTCAGTAATCAATTAATTAGTTCAATATTTTTGATTATTTGTCCCATGCTAAAATATTTCTGCATCCACCACTGGTCACGTTTGAGCCTTTCTGGACGGTTGAACTGCCAAAGTGGGATAAAGAAGTACCATTCTTCATCATTCCACTTTATCTTTGAGTGGCATGTGTAAGTTTCAGCAAAATTCAATCGCAAAAATCAGAGGCAAATAGCACATATATAAGCGGTCAAACCCAATAAACAAGAACATTCAACACAAATAGAATACTTATTACATCTCCAAACAGATAGTGTACCTTAAATCTCAAGTTCTGAGAGTTTTTCGTCCTCCCATATTGAAGTCTCCTCCTAATTGTTTGACATACCATTTTTGCTACCTAAGAAAAGCAAAAACAAATCTGAAAATAGTGTGAATCCCTCATGAGTACACTATAATCCTCTTCTTTGATCACATTCATGCATGCACATCTTGTGCAAAAAAAAAAAACTAAAAAATATGGATTGTTGTTTTCCTTCTTTTTTTTTTTGGTTGGTTTTATATTTTGAGTTTAAAACTTAGTTTCAAATGTCCTATAATGATCTACACTTACAGTTAATCATGCTTGAGCCACGAAATTCTAAACTTAAAAGTTATTTTTCTTAACTTTAAAATTCTCCTAAACATATATCCATATAAGTTTATATTTTTCATTTTCCTTAATGTGTAGTGCGATATTCAAACAACTTGGCACGAACATCCAAGTTAATTTCAAAATAGAAGAGATGGTCCAACCTGTAAGATACCCTTCATATATATATTTACATAACATTTGATGGCACAAAGCACATACATTTTTTTCGTTTAATAGAGATTTTTTTTTGTATTTTCCGTAAACAAAACGCAATTCCGCAGAGCTTGTATTTTTACGTTTTTTTCACAAGTTTTTCTAATTGGTAAAATTCTTATATTTTTATGTTTTTCTGCCATTTTCTAATTGAGCACAATACACAGTAAAATTCAACCCTAAACTTTTATGTTTTCCTGTAATATGCATAGAAATATACATCATATATATACTTGAACTTTTACGGCATTAATAAATATTTCAAAATGAGGGTTGATAGCTTTAATGTTTCACATATAAAGAGATATAGAAAGCTTAGGTTAAAAGTTATTGACCAAACTTCCGAGTTCGAGTTGCGTGGGTTAAAAAACCCATGCCTTTTTTTGGACTATTCTCATCTTGAATTTGTATTGTTCATGCATGATGTTTTAATTTTTTTTTTTTACCACGAGATCTTCATTTCTACATTATGTTTTTACGTGTCTCACTCAGACTTGGAGACATACATAGCAAGCTTAAGCAATGCATTCGATTTTACCAATGCCCGATTTGACTTACATTGGATTTTTTTTCTCTCTCTCTCTCTTATATACAGTATATATGTTTCGTGATACAATTATATATAGAAACCATGAGACTATTAATAAATGTGGGCTGGAAGAAGCCTGGAAGCTTGAACCTTACTCAAATTAAAATTTGTTTTATAAGTGCATGTTAATTTTTCGTTACATGCTTATTTACGAGGATAGGGGTATGATTAACGCTAACTAGGTTAAACACGAATTATTTCACTTCTCAAAGTGGGATCAATATTGTATCCATTCTTTAATTTAATCGAAAACTGTTATTTAAAAAAAAAACAGAGCTAAAGTTACAACCCTCCCTTCTTGTTAATTATAAACTCTATTCTAAAATAAAATATTGTTCAACTCTACTTTATTTCCAATTCTAAAATGAAGTAAGAGCATCGCCAACAGCAGATGCCATTCTCAAAATTATTATATTATTATAATTTAATAAAATAATTAATTTTGATAATAATAGAAAATAAACCATTAATAAAATAATACATGTTTTAAATTTGTTAGAAGCGCTTCTCAACTAAGCATTTTTGAAACTGATTTTTATCCTTTTCTTATCTCTCTCCTCCTTTATCATTATTTTAATTAATTTTAATATTTAGATAATTATGTTTGGAGAGGTGGTCTATGGTCTTATAGTTATATATTCTACTCTAAAAAGGGGTTTTTGACATCGATCGATCCAAGTTTTTTTTTTTTCCTTGATCGATCCAAGTTTCTATATCATATTTGATTTATGCTCGTATCATCATTGACATTAAGTCATCAAACCATATTAGATAAACTTGGGTAGAATGCATTCTGAAATTAAATTGTCGTAAAAAAGATATATCTTTTTATTGAACATATAACATAAAGAGAATGTAACACATGTAATTAAAAGTATGCATCCCTGTAGAATTTTCAATATAATTCTACTCGTACTCTCAGTTTAAAAAACTACACAGTAACTTTGAAGTTTGAATCACTCCAGGAATTTTTTTTTTATAAAATTGAAAAAGCGAAGTTCAAGAAACGTATATCATATCTTCTTGCAAAACCCTCCACATCTTCTAGAGACATTGGTCGTAAACCTACGCATCACTTTCCGGTCCAATTATCGTTTCCCCATGAACACCTTTCTTCTTCTCTAAGAAACTTCTTCCTTCTTCTCTAATCTCTCTCTCTCTCTCTCTCTCTCTCTCTCTCTCTCTCTCTCTCTCTCTCTCTCTCTCTCTCTCTCTCTCTCTCTCTCTCACTCTCTCTCTCTCTCTCTCTACTTCTATAAATCTTTCTGTTCTTCATTCTCTTTTGGTTAATTTTATTTCTCTATCCCAAAAGTATAAATTCTCATTGTGTTATGGTTTTAGTTATGGATGATGAAGAGAGTAATAACGTAGAAAGGTTTGACGACGTCGTTTTGCCAGGGTTTAGGTTTCATCCCACAGATGAAGAACTCGTAAGTTTCTACTTGAAACGGAAAGTTCTACACAAATCTCTTCCCTTTGAGCTCATCAAGAAAGTTGACATTTACAAATACGACCCATGGGACCTCCCAAGTAAGCCACACAAACTCTAGTTTCTGCCTTTTTTTGGTCTCCATCTATGGAAAACAAATTTTTGATTTTGCATTTTCTTGAATCAATATTCCAAAAGAGCTTGCGGCGATGGGGGAGAAAGAGTGGTACTTTTACTGTCCAAGAGACAGGAAATATCGTAATAGCACGAGGCCTAACCGAGTAACCGGAGGTGGATTCTGGAAAGCAACCGGAACAGACCGGCCTATATACTCGTTGGACTCGACTCGATGTATCGGTTTGAAAAAATCGCTTGTCTTCTATCGTGGTCGAGCTGCTAAAGGAGTTAAAACCGATTGGATGATGCACGAGTTTCGTCTCCCTTCTCTCTCTGACTCTCATAACTCATCATATCCCAACTACAATAACAAGAAGCAACAACATAACGACAACAGCAAAGAGATACCTTCAACTGTAAGTAGTTGGATTTACCCTAACTTGCTATTCACACAAGAGAATTAACTTTTTGTTATTGTCTTAAAACCGATTGTCAGTTTTAGAAGACTAGTTAGCAAACAAGAACCGAATCTAGTATCAATCAGTTTGGTACAACTTCTGATTCTAATGAAATGTATTCTACTATTCTTATTTTCAAAAGAAAATGAAGCTTGGTTCGGTTTTGATCCGGTTTTTCTGATTAGAAAGAAATTAAGTGTCGGTTATCATTTGTAGGATGCTTGGGCGATTTGCAGAATATTCAAGAAGACGAATTCAGTATCCTCACAAAGATCAATCACACAGTCTTGGCTTTATCCGACGGTTCCTGAGACCAACCAATACAACTCACAGTCACAAACCGCGACTCTCTTGGCTTCAACAGACGTTCTCAGCAACATAGCAACAAGACAAAACCATGTCTCTTCTCCAGTCAACGAACCCGCAAGCTTCACTGAATCAGCCGCTGCTTATTTCGCGTCTCAGATGCTCGGAGTTCCGTACAACACAGCTAGAAACAGCGGAACAGGAGATGCTATATTCTTGAGAAACAGTGAAACAGGGGATGCTCTGTTTTTTAGCAACAACGAGACTAACTACTTCAATAACATGACTCATGAGCTTTCGAATGTACGATCATTGGTGGAGTCTGGTTTCGAGACGAGGGCCGGTGAGATGTCGGCCACGTCGTACTCCACTAACAATTAAGATGTACTATTAACACTTGAACCAGTGTAGGACATTGCTAATAGTATGTATTAATTTTTAATTATCTTATTAATGTTGCTTTGGTTTTTGTTTCTTGGAGACCAAAAAGAAAAGAAAAACAAAGACTTGCTTTGCTTCGTATAGCTTTCGGCCTTTTGAAGTAACCTAATCTTGGACAATGTAACTTCTGTTTAGTTTTTTCTTTTCTTAAAAGACTTTTTTTCTCAGTTTCATTATAATCTTGGACAATGTAACTTGCTGCTGCTTGGTACTGAGTCCTCTGCATAGCCTACAACATAAAGAAATGAGTGGGGATAAAACATTCTTCTGAATGAGATAAACAACACCTCCCAAGTGAGATTAAGCATTGGAGATTTTACCATGACCGGAGAGTAGTGCATGGGATCTTTAATCTCGATTTTTCACAAGGTAATCCCATGCGCATTGTGCTTAAGAAAGTATGTTAAATTATCTTGAGACAACAACCCAAACTTAGATAATTACTTTGGAAAACAAAGGAAACAAACCTGTCTTTTGGTTGGAAACATTGACAGCTAGGTATATTGTCATATGCCAATTAGTCTTCATCTCTTTCGAGTCAGTGGTTTTGTAGAATATGTATGGCTCGTTCTACCTTGAGATTTTACATTTGATAGATAATCCATAAACTCAATCCCACAGTTTGATACATTTTCATTCAGAAAGTTTTAAGCATTTGATTATGATAAATGATAACCTAATCAGCACGAAACTTGTATAATAGTAATTCAGTGATTTGACTAAAAAGATCCAAATTCACAAAAGTAAATGCAATTAATACTTCTTATGTCTCATTTTAATTGATTTTCTAGCTAAAAACACAAGGAACAATGGCTAAAATGCCACTTTTGTTGAAAAACTAATCTCGGATGCTATCTTTTTATTTACAATTTATTTTTGATTATTTTTTTTAATCAAAACGCAGGAAATACCCTTTAAACCCTTATTAAATTAAACAAATTACACAACATAACCATTCAAACCTGCTAACTCAACTAGAATCTATCTATTCTTTTTTTTCCGACTATCATTCTATTTTCTTCATCGAGTTCTTCATCTAAGATTTTTTTTTTTTAATTCCATTGATTCAATCGAAGGAGGAGGAGACGATGAATTTCAATCTTAGTACCACGAACTCGTCACGGATCTCAAGTCTCTCCTTGACACAGACGGCAGGCTCTCTTTCGTGGCTTCATCGTTTCTCCGCTGCTTCTCCGCCGCCATGGATGCGCGCACTTCTGCTCCGATGTCTCTTCCCTTCCTTAATCTTCAGTTTCTCAGCATAACAGCCTCGACCTCTACTTGCTCTCTCTCACTAAGGTTTTCCATTTTCATCTTCGTTCTCTGTTGAATTACTTTTTTCTGATATTTTTTCTGTACCCTTTTGAAGTTTAGTCCTCTCATGTCTGTAGATTCGTATGAGTTTCTTGGCACGTCTCTTATACTGGAAGCTATGCTGTTGTGTCGAGTTTCTTTATTGCATTCTTCACCTACTTTTTTTAGGTTTAGTTCAGCAATGATTGTTGTAGCAATTTCAGGGCTCAAAATTCTGCAACTTAATTAATTTTTACGATTTTCCCTAGTTTAGGTTTCAATGAATGATGATGTGTGAATTTGTTTTCTGTCCTGCCAAGATTGATATTCTTTATGCAGTACTGCGATGATATATTTGAGTCGAAGCTGGAAGAGCTCATTAATCAGTTGAGGGAAGGTGATGAAGGCTGGATGAATGGCTAAATAACCATTTAACTAATCGATTTTCCTCTGTCTTCACCAGATGATCTATTAAATTTCTTTATTGACGTACGAGGTTAGCTTCTTTGTTTTCATCATGTTTGGAGCCTTGATTCTGGGTTGTGCAAGATGATCAGATTATTTTGGATCTGAACAGCAACTTGGAATGTTTGTTCACCGTTGCATTTTGGCATTTAACTTTTTATTGTTCGAGGTATTGTGCTTTGTTTTTATTGTTTTATCCAGCTTAAGATCCTATAGTAAGTGTTTGATTTTATTTAGAGTTTTGCATGATTTTTTGGAGGGTATAGTTTTCCTTCTGTTTGCAGCATGATCCTGTTTGTCGTGTGATTGCTAACCAACATATTCAAAAGTAAGTAAAAAAATCAGTGAGTTTCATTGGATGGAACAAGCAAAATCCAAGTTACATGGCCACCATTATCATGGACAGTGCTAAAGTCGTGGTGTTCAACATTTATATTGCTAGTCCTTCAATGGTGGAGCTTCAGCAACATCAAGCTATGGAAGTTTATATCCGGATTTTGTGAGAACTATGAAAAATATAATGTATGTGAGGTACAACTGAAATAAATAGTTTGACTGAGTTCGATTGAGGGAGTTTTACAGTTCAACCGAGTTTTATAAAGTTCAACTGGATTTTATTAAGTACAATGGATAACACAACTAATGAGATACAACTGAAATACATGGTTCCATTGAGTGAGGTTTACAGTCCAACTGAGTTTTATTAAGTTCAACTGGATTTTATTAAGTACAGCGAATGATACAAGTAATGAGGTACAACTAAAATACATGGTTTAAATGAGTTATATTATCGGTTCAACTGAGTTTTATTAAGTTCAACTAGATTTTATTAAGTACGATGGATGACACAAGTAACAAGGTACAACTTAAATACATGGTTTGATTGAGTTTGACTGAGTGAGTTTTATGGTTCAACTGGGTTTTATTAAGTTCAACTGGATTTTATTAAGTACAACAGATGACACAAGTAACGAGGTACAACTGTAATACATGGTTCGATTGAGTGAGTTTTATGGTTTAACTGAGTTTTATTAAGTTCAACTGATGACAAATTATGGTTTTTCATAATTGTTTAATTTTTTTTTTTAATAAAAATTGAAGCATCTTCTCTCTCGGAATCGTCTCTCGTCTCCTCTCTAGGAATCGTCTCTCTCATTTCCTCTCTCGAAATAGTCTCTCTCTCTCTCTCCCCTAATCTCTCATTCTCTCTCTCCCTCTCCTAATCTCTCTCTCTCCTAATCTCTCTCTATCCTAATCTCTCTCCTAATCTCTCTCTCTCTCTCTCTCTCTCTCTCTAAGAAACAAAAAAAATAAAATTATGGTTTTGAAACATTTGAAAAAATGGACTTTTTGAAAATAAAATTAAAATATTGCAAATTCTTCCTGCTGGCGGAAAACTTCCAGCTGGCGGAAAACTGAAAATTTATTAAATTTTCCAAAATAAACTGAACTTAGTTGTCCCCAAGCAAGTAGTTGAACCAAATTCCTAATAGTTGTACTTTTGTAATTTTATTGTATTTCTAGTTGAACCTTCCCCTAAACTATTATGGTGTAGTTGTACAAATGATTTTGGACCATTAAACATCATTTACAACGTTTTCATAGTACAATGTATGAAAAATTTAATATTATAATTTTTTTACTCCTAAAAGGCTTAACAATATTGATATCTTACTTATATTGTAAGGGATGGTTTATGTGAAAACATGATTTTGTATCAAAATAAAAAAATTAATGTTCTCTATATTAGTAATTATTTCTTTATAGTTGAAAATGTGTATATAGGTCTTAATTGGTTGATTCACATCACTTGTAGCTTTAAAAATGGTTTAGTTCACTTCTAAAGTTGATATTAGTTGTATCCAGTTGCACTCAGTTGCACTTGTTGGTGCAATTTCAAAAAAAACACAAAATTATTAATAATTATACCCAGTTGCTCTTGGTGGTTCGATTTCAAGAAAGTCAAACACACAAGCGTTAATAGTTGTACCCAGTTGAACCTAGAAGTGCAAATCAGAGAATGACAAACATATAATCGTTAATAGTTATATTCAGTTGAACCTGAAAGTGCGAATTCAAGAAAGACAAATATGTAACTGTTCATACGTGTACTCAGTTGTACTTGGTAGTACAAATCAGAGAATAAGAAACTCATAAACGTTAATAGTTGTACCCAGTTAAACCTAGAAGTGCGAATTCGACAAAATGAAACTCAGAATTGTTCATACGTGTACCTAGTTGAACCTGATCATACAAATTCGCCAAACTCAAACATATAAAGATTCATAGTTGTACATAGTCTAAAATGGTTGTACAAAACCGAGAATTACAAAACGCACACACATACACACAAATCAAACTGCACTACAAAACAGATGCTATTAAGCGTGGGGTGCCTTTCAACGGCCCGAGAGCATATATCCATCTTTATGTATACTCTAACACTGAAATAATCTGATTTCTTAAATCTTGCAGCTCGTAAATACCATTTACAGCCTTGAATCTTTTGACGGCATTCTATAATAAGCCGCCATGTATCAGACTTATATGTATGGACCCCAAAACAGTTTTTATGTGCAGCTCTGTCAACCATATCTTCCTGCATATCGTTATCTTATTTACTAACGCTGAGTAAGTTATCTCCTCCAATGATAAGTTCCTGAATGGTATAGCATAGGTGAAATTACTTGTAAACCATTTCAACTCCCTTCCATCACGTGAATAACTCCCTTCATAGTCAAATGTATGTTTGTGCGGTTGATGTTCATGCTCTCCTGAAAATATAGTGAAAATAGTCGATCAGTTGAACTCAATTGAACACAAAGTACCACAGTTATACCAGTTAAACTCAATTGAACTACATTGAACTCAGTTGTACCAGTTGAACTACACCTCTCATTTGTACCACTTGTACCAGTTGAACCCAATTGAATTCAGTTGTACCAGTGCAACTATACCTCACATTTGTACCAATTATACTAGTTGAACTCAGTTGAACTAAAGTGAACTCAGTTGTACCAGTTGAACTACACCTCTCATTTGTACTAGTTGAACTCAACTGAACTAAATTGAACTCAGTTGTACTAGTTGAACTATAACTCTCATTTGTACCAGTTGAACTTAAGTTTTCAGTTGTTCCAGTTCGCTCTCAGTTGTACCAGTTGTACCATTTTTCCTATCAAAATTCTGGGAATTTCGAGCTCGAGTTTCGTTGTTCTGCATATGAATCTGATTAACATAACCATGTTCTTCTCACAAATTACCGAACCTATGGCTTAATATATCCAGAATACATTGTTACCAACCCAGATCCCTAATTTTTCAAATCTAAAGCCCTAATTTTACACTCTAATTGAAAAAGAAGAAATCACCTTCAAAATATGAGATCTTCAACAATGGCAGAAAGATGACTGAAATTCTGGGTTGGACGAAGTGGAGAAAAAGTCGATCTAGGTTGGACGAAAAGGATGACGGGAGAAAATGCTCATGGAAGGAGCTTGGAAACCAGAAGAGAACTCAGGTGAGAAGAGGGAGGAGGAGCTCTCGCGGAGATGCTCGAGCTATGGGGGATCGATGATTCAATTTTTTTTTTTTTCAAAAATTAATTTTGTTTACTTTTATTTCTTTTACTTTTACTAATTTATTTTTACTTGATTAATTTCAGTAACTTTAATTAAAGACTAATTTGTAATATCACATCTCATTTAAATGAGAGAGTAGCATTAGATCATGTGATGGCAGTGTAGATCAATTTTTCTGTGAAAATAGCATTTGAGCTCTTCGCTCAAAAACACATATATTGTAATAAAAAAACTAATTCACATTCCATTTAATTAACAAATTAAAAAGAGTAAAAAAAAATAAAAGTAAAAATGCAAATAGCTACATTTTACTATTATTTGAAAAGTCGCTTTGTTGAAAAAAAAAACTGACTTGTCATCATCATAACCATGCTAAATGCATTTCAGATATGAAAATATAAAATGGAAAATTTCTTAAAATAAAAAAAAATTTGATGGACTGAATTAAAATTAAATAAATTTTATTTAAAAAAAGAGTTAAAAATTTAATCATATGTGAATTACAGTGGGAATTATAAACTATAAATGAAATAAAAAAATAAATAGATAGAAAAATAAATCACAAATATCCTCTTAGCAAAAAAAAATTATAAAACTAAAAGAATATATGATAAGAAGTAGAAATAAAAATAAAAATAAATATCTACATTTTTAGTTTTCTGTAAAAATCTCGGACTATGTCTCCGTTTAAAGCATCTCCAACGTACTTTTATTTTAAATTTTCTAATTTAGAGGTAAAATAGAGATATTATATTTTTCTTCTATAATTTGAGAAAAATTAACTATTTTGTTTCCTGTAAAATAGAAGTGAGTGTAAGAAATATCCACCTATATTAGAGAGAGAAAAATAGAAAAATACATTGAGGATAATTTTAATGTTTAATTTATTATTCAAATTAAAAAATAAGAAATTTGAGTCAAAGAAGATGAATAACCTACAGAAGAATAATTTTGTTTGGTTTTATGTTTTTATTTAAAGTTTTTGAGAATATATTATATCATATATATATAATAATTCTTATATGCATATCATTTTTCAACATATTAAAATATTATTATTTCATAAATTAAGTTTTTTATATCTTGTTATATATTATATTTTATATTAACACAAATATCAAAGTTAGTGTTCGGGAGCATTTTACAGGATGCCACATGGGGGTGTAATATTCGTCCAGATGGTGTAGCCGTGTCTCCAAGTTTCGTCCTCTGGGGGGAAAAGCGACTTGCCATTCCAGAGTGGAAGCATGTTCGAGTCCTACAGGCACTCGCAGAAACCTGTTCGAGTCTTGCGAGCACTACACAAATAGTCAGTCGGTCCTTAAAGAGAACCGAATGGGGTTTTTCTCCCGAAAGTTCTCCGACGCCCAAGTAAAT